TCCAGCAGTGGAACCGCTTTTCCCAGTGCGGCCCAAGAACCTCCCGGACCCCACCCTGCCCCTGGGGATTCGCCCTTCCCATCAGAGCACAGCCAGGTAGGGAGCTGAGGGGTTGCAGCCTTCGCGTTCCCCTTGTTTACAGTCTTAATGGAATTGAAACCCTCTCCTTTCTCCTTTTTCCCTTTTTAGTTTAGTCCCTGTGGCTGTTTCCAATTTTCCACTTTCTCTCCAGCTGTTTTTGTGGAGGGGTGCCTTTTACATATTCTCCCCGACCCCCAGTCTCCCACCTCTCTCCACCCTCAAAAGTGGTTCCCTACCTTTCGCGGCTTCTTGCTCCCCAAATTCACCTGTCCTTGCCGAGTACCTTCTGACTTCTTTGGTTCAGGGTGTGTAGATTGTTGTGCTAATCCTCCAGTCAGATTTCTAGTTGTGTAAGATGGTTTAGTGTTGGTCTGGCTGTATTTCATGGACATCAAGTATCCTGCTCTTGATTTTGGCTCATGTCATAATCTCAAGATTCATGAGAATCAAGTCCCCATGTCTGACTCTGCAGTGATAGCACAGAGCCTCCTTGGGATTCTCTCTGTCCCAGTCTGGCCGCCCCTCCCCTGCTCACACTCTCTCTCTCTCTCAAAGAATTAACAAAAAAAAATTATTAATACAAAACATGTGGACCCAGTCCATACTGGGCTATGAGTCTAATGTTAAGTGCAAGAACTTGGGAAGCTGGTTATTTAGCCATTAGGAGATGATTCTAGTCAAAGTCCTAACACAGATAACTGAAAACACAACAGGCCATTTTGCTCTGTTTTATTTGTATTTGTTTATTTTTTTTTTTTCTGGAAAGCTGGTTTACCAGGACATTGCTGTAAATAACACTAATTGCACCTATCCTTGTCCAAATATAGGCATATGAAATGCTAATATACGGGACATAATTAGGCTAAATAAGTCCAGCAATTAAGGTGATAGCATATTCCTTATGTTTTTACCTGCTCATAACAGCTAGTTTCATTTAAAGAAAAAAAAAATTCCCTAAATTCAGGCTTGAGCTTCAAGGGTGGAAGAAGTCTATATTCTGAGGAATTAGAGAAATAGGTCTACATTTACATATGCCATCATCAGCGAATAGCACTGCCACAGAGCTGTGAAAATTGCAGACCTTTACAACCCAGCCTTTGATTAATGACTTAATTAAAGTGGGATTAATATAAATCTGTTGGTAAGAAAGAATGCTAGGGAAAGTAGAAAATATTCTGGCAATCTACCCTTCCAGCAATCATTGTAAGAAACACTGATAACAGAGTGACAGTCAGTGACTTAAACACTGAAGATCCCCTGGAAGAAAGGCTGATGTTTGTGAGCTGTGCGAGAGGTCTGAATGCCTACAGCGAAGTCAATATATCATATAGTGTAGTTTTACTAAAGACCCTTAGGAAGGATTTCTCTCAGGTCTCGGCAATGAGCAAAGCTGACTTCTCTCCAATAATTGTTTCTTAACTTTATGCACACTATGAATCTTGTAACTAATTCTACTTTCCTTTTTGGCCTGACGGCTATGGGAGATTAGGGCTCAATTTGTGGCCAGAATCATTAATGTATGGGACTGTGGGACACATAAGTCTGGGTGCTCATGTAACCACTGTATTTACTCTTCCCTTATCTTATTTCCCTTTGCCTGGTTCTTTCAACCTGATTTCACCTCTTGTAGTGTAAGCACTTTTAAAAATCACCGTGAGGTCCTTTTGTTCTCAAGGGGGATGGAAGGAGAGAACAAGTGGGACATGGGTACGGCCGCTGATTCTGGAAAGCCCAGCTGTGCTCCTAAGGCTGGCTTGTTTCCAGGTAATGTGCTCCCATGATTTCAGCTTCTACTCAAAATGGCCCTGGGACGCTTAGATCCAGACTCATTTCTTAGATATGGTGACTGAACCAGAGAGTTTGGGATGTGACCAACATAATATAGTAACAAAAGAAAGACTGGAACCAAAATGTGTTCTTAAGCAACCTCAGAGATAAACATTGGGAAATGACCAGATAATGATGTGTTCGTAGCTTAGGAGCCAAATTATTTCAGTTTTTGATTTTATCAAGATCGATGGTTCTTTGGGTAAATTTGCCTCTCCGTAGCAAGGACCAGCTATAAACCTAATAATATTATTTAGATACTTGTTTCTAGCCTATATTTATTGCTCAGCAAGCAAGCTATACAGGTTATGATATCTCCATTATACATGCTAGCATAAATAAGCTTTGAAAGGTTAATTTGAAAAGCCATACTGTATATATACTTTACTTTTAATTGGCAAATATTTGTTGTATCAGGAGTATACATTTTTTTTTAATTTCTTTTAACGTTTATTTATTTTTGAGAGAGAGAGAGAGAGAGACAGAGCATGAACGGGGGAGGGTCAGAGAGAGAGGGAGACACAGAATCTGAAGCGGGCTCCAGGCTCTGAGTTGTCAGCACAGAGCCCGACGCGGGGCTTGAACTCACGGATCGTGAGATCATGACCTGAGCCGAAGTCGGACGCTTAATCGACTGAGCCACCCAGGTGCCCCAGGAGTATACATTTTTAATCTCACCTTCTCACTCCCTCGCAGAAAAGAACGGTCTTAATATTATATGAATGAATACCTGGAGTTCTGGAGAAAACACATACTGACTGATATTGATGAATTTAATAGTATAAATAAGATTATATGACATGTGAGAGTCAAGAAAAGTAGTATTTGGATAATATATTGTGGGTTTTTTTAATGTTCATTTATTTGAGAGAGAGAGAGAGAGAGAGAGAAAACATGAGTGGGGGAGGGGCAGAGAGAAAGGGACACAGAGTCCCAAGTAGGTTCCAGGCTCTGAGCTCTCAGCACAGAGCCCGATGCGAGTCTCAAACCCATGAACCATGAGATCATGAGCTGAGCTGAAGTAGGATGCTTAACCGACTGAGCCATCCAAGCACCATTGGATAATATATTGTTCAATTTATATGAATTTAAATATATCTATGCAACTAAAGTAACAATTCAAGTATGTGTGTGTGTATATATATATATATATATACACACACATATATACATATACACACACATATACCATCTATATTTATCTATATACCATTTATATCTCTATATATATACCTATGTATACCTATCCATCATCTATTTATGTATCTAAAAGACAGGTACAATTTCATTTTCTTTCATAGTTCTATGAATGATATTTTTAGAGGGTTTAAGAAATCAGTATTCTTTATAGGAGACGGAAGAGAGAAATAGTAAAGGGACACAGAGTCACAGATACTGACATTTCCAAAGCATCTTTGTTCTATACACTCATTTATGTAAATCTTGATGCTGAGATTAAGGTGACATGGCCAGATTTGATAAAAATCTAATCTCTTTCACAACAAATTGAAAAGAACCATTGTTAATTCAGTGATTACTGTATACAAAAGATGCATTTAAGGTAAGTAGGTTAGAATGAAGCAGATTTTAGACAAGACTTCTCTGTGGTCCCTCATACACCTGTGAAGTCACCAAACAGTCTTCCTGTAGTGCACCCACTGCACAGTGCTGTTTGGACAGGTGCTTTAAATACATATACAGACGTATCTACACACACAATAAATTAAAGATATATATACACATAAAAATAAATATACATATAGATACATATGTATATATGCCCAAGACAGAGGGAAAAACTTCCCATACGTTTCTTTTCTCTTTGAAAACCTATACCTTTTTCAGTACCATGGGCAAGAAACATACTTGCTAACAATTTAGAATATCTACAGTGTGGAATAGATCAACCAAATTTACACTGGCATTTAGCTATGAACATGTTAGAAGACCCATTTATGAAGAAGAATGCAAAGGAAGTTTTCTAATTTCTTATTCTTTACATAGAATACTATAGAGCGGCAAAATATGTGCAGATTAAATATCTGATTTTATCTCTTAATTGCGGTGGATATTATTATGGCCATTTTCTAATAGGATAAATTGTAAAATGCCATGCCCAAAGTTATACAGTGATGGGGCTAAAATTAACTCATTCTGTTGAATACGATATCTTTGGGGGGTGCCTGGGTGGTTCATTCGGTTAAGCATCTAACTCTTGATTTCATCTCAGGTCATGATCTCACAGTTGGTGGGTTCAAACTCCACATCAGGCTCTGCACTGACAGCATGGAGCCTGCTTGGGATTCTCTCTCCCTCTCTGCCCACTTAGGCACTCTCCCTCTCTCTCTCTCTCTCTCTCCTTCTTTCAAAATAAATAAACATTAAAAAAAATACTATAATTTTATCAACAGCTGTTGTTTATGTAAGGTGTGTGTGGGCCCTGGAAATACAGAGATAAATAAAATTCTGTTCTATGACATGAATGCCACAATGGCAACAGACCAAGAATTCTCTCGGTCTTCATGATGATTGTTTTAGAAAATTTATTCTTGCCAATCTTGATTGAGATCAAAGGCGATTGAAATTATTACATCATCAGCTACATTATAAAGTGAAATTAAGCTGTATGTGGACAGGGAAATAATTCCTACAGCCAGAGCAGTGGATGAATGGGTAGATAGTTAGATAATGACTCAAGCATACAAATTATAAATCTCTGAAACGTCAAGACTCAATCATGTTAAAAGACACAATGTAACTTCATATCGACTATGCTTTTTGATATATTTACTCTGGTTAGTAGTTCTATGAATATAACTGATTATAAGTGAACATCTTCGTGTTTAGTAATTATAATTTTTTAAATAGGCAGTATTTTAGGGAATAGTGTCCATCATTCTTAGAACTTGGTGATATGTGTAAATGACTGAAATGTGTAAAAAAGGATGAGACTTCCTGTTTCCAATTAGTTCAAAGATAAGAGTCTGCAGGGAAGGCTTTTCTTTGTATTTTCAAACTGAAATACTGAACATGTAAATGGGAAACTAGTTACTGATTTTTATCCCCACCTGACAGAATAATGAGAAACATATTTTTCAAATGGAAATTTATTTTTGAGACATTGTGTAGTGAGTAACAATGCATTTTAACTGAAAATTTCTAATTCAGATTCTTCAGACAGGAACATAATATTTGTTAAGGAAAAACAGGTGTTTGGATAAAGAAATTGGGAAAGTAGTGACTGTGTTGATAATTTCCCAAACTATAGACAAAGGTCAAACCTTCCGTACATGTGCTTAACTTACCATAAATTTAAAGTAGATTGCAGTGAAAAAAAAAACAATATAAAAAGTAAAGATTTTTATAAAGATCAAGGTCTACAAATGCAAAAACAAGAGAGAGAAAAAGTAGAACAAAGGAATTCACATTATCACTTGAGAAGAGGGAGAAACTATCAATAAAAATCGAGGTTCTCAGTATTATTTTGAACATATCTGTCAGCCTATTGCTGTGTTATTACAGGCACCAGTGGGCATCCGCCCTGAGAATAGATTATTAGCACATTCTGCCTATTTTCCTAATTAGTGGATGCGGTGTACTTAAGCTCCACTTACCGTATAGACTACATACAGAAAGTGAAGCAGAACAAGAGAAAAAGCAAGACTCATGAAATAAGAGAAAGAAAATGTCTTCCCTCAAGCATCAGTATTCCTCCCCCCCCCCCCCCGGCTTTATCAAACACATATGCAATTAATGGTGGTTTAATAGTGGCTACCATATTGCACTTGGAAGACACACTTAGGATAAACAACATGTTTCAACAGCCCTGTTAACCATATGGTCTAAAAACAATGTGGTCTCATAACACAAATGACATATCACATGTAAAATTCAAGGCAAACTTTTTTTCTGGACTTAAAAGCGTGCTTTTGGCCAACCTACAGTTGTGATTCTGTAACAACTCTCAGTCTGTAATTAATGAAAAGAAGAAGGCTGGGCCAAGAGGGTAGTGTCCGCCATCTGATGGCCATTGAGTCACAAATGTTGACCTTCATTCTTCTTCCCCTGCCCTTCACACCCACGCGACCTTCCCAAGCCCGCAGGTTTAGCGCAGTTCCAGTCCTATAAGCTTGTTCTCATCTTAACCAGCTAGGATTAGCGGGTTTTTCTTCCTGACTGAAAGCTGGTACTAAGAACAACAACAAACAATTGCTGTGCCTATCTAGGAAAAAATAACCATTGATTTCTTTATAAGCATTTACATAGAAACATCCTTTATATCAAGTATTCTTACGTTTAAACTACTTGGACATCTCCCCTGGATTCCATGATTTTAATCCTGAGTCAGTTTTCCAGAACAGTGACAGTCCTATCAAAGTAACTATTCAATCATTCCAGATTTATGTATTTAGTGTTAACGTTCTTGCCGCCGTGTATACCTGACCTCAAAATACACCAACCAAATGTTTGATTTGGTTGCTCTGTGTAAAGACTGCTTATCTTCATACTAACTGCATTCACTTAGGGACAGGTTAACTTCATGAGTGGTTTTACTGAAATGATCAACTTGAAGTTGCTGAAAAATGTCCATCTGCTAAGTACCTTGTGATGTTTTGCTATTTCTTTATAAAACTTGAATCGTAAAGTGCAATGACATCTCATATTATCGGGACATGAGTCTTCTTCCAATTTCGGATTTCTCGAACCATGCTCAGAAACCAGTAGCGATCCCCCAAAGCATCTGAGAATCTCCAAACTTTCATTTGAATCTGCATACCTGATCCCTATCTCAGGCTTTACAATTTTTCACTAACAAGCAAAACAAATGGAGACACAAACTTTCTCACCAGGAAATTAGAAATAAACTGGAGAAAAAATTTTAGAGAGAGGCTCAGTGACAAAATTCATTAAATATCACAGCCTGAAATTGGAGAAGGAGAAAAACAAAACCAGATAAAGCTCTTTGCAGAGAGAATATCATGGGATGTTAGGTCAGATGATCCTCAAAAATCAGGAAAATAAATTATATTTAGTGATCTCTGATTGAGCAAATAGGAAAATATAATATGCTTACTCTAACTTCTATCCAAAATGTTATACTAAAAACAATGGCTTTAGTGTTTCAACGAGTAAGACCTAGAGTTCAATGTGTAGATAATTGTTTCTCAAAATTTAATATTCATACAAACCAGCTTGGGGTCTTGTGAGAATGTGGATGTTTGTTTAGTAGACCTGGGGGCAGGAGCAAGATTCTACATTTCTAAGAAGCTAATGTTAGAATGTCATATTTCTTTCCAGTTAATACTGGTAGTTTTCCTGGCAAGGGTATAGAAGGCATCGATTTCCAATAATGTCAGAGAAATGAGATGTTCCTGCATTTGCTCTCAAGTACTTTTTGAAACCTGAAATTAAGACATACTACTTATATAAGTTGGCAAATTTATGTTACATACAATTCATTCACTTTGGAAATAAGGAAACATTATAATCAGCTATTTTTAAACTATGAAACGTGAGAGAGGAATTAATAATAGTGCATTATTCAATCTCTTTCAACCATATAATAAGCATGCATGAGAGAATTTTATTGAAATCCGAACTTGCTCAATACTGTGCAAAATTTGAGGTGAACTGTAGCTATATCCTACGAAGTCCTATTCAGTAAAATTCCGAATTCTCTTCAATTATAGTGCCATCCTTTTAACATCTGGAGAGTATGCAGCACACAAGGCAAGTTTCTGGGATTTTTTTTGTTTTGGAAAGGAGACTTGGTTTTCATTTCTGTGAATGGTGAAATTCTGTGAATGGTGAAACGCTGTGCTTTGTTTAGTGGTGAGAAATCTTGACTGTGTTCTTTGATAATGATTACCTGGGCATTTTTTTCTTTATCTGGTTCTGCACTTTATGCACATAGATATTACCATTCTTAAAATAGTCTATAAAGAAACTGGAGCTGGAGAAGTGAAATACCATAATAGACTTGAAGCTATAGATTTATACCCTTCCTAGGCATTTTACATGTTACCTAAGTTCTTGACCCTGCCAAATTCCTTTATGAAATGTTCATGTCCAATGACATTAATGTGAGACTTCTCTGATCTTACTACGTCTTCCATATTGAAATTGCAGTTCTAGATGCATTCTTCCTATTTGATCTTTTTCCACCTCAGTAAACTTTTGATGAGGGGGAGATTTCTGTGGAGAATTTATTTGGAGAATTCCAAATCATTATTTCATTTCAGATGGCGAAACTCAATTATACTATGTTTGGTGTGGATACAGTGTTCATAAAGTGTGTGTGCAAAGGGGTTGGGAGTGAGGGAAAACCGCGGATGATATTTATAAAAGAGATAGGACCTCGAGCGTTCCTTAAAAGGTCAACAGATACGTATGTAAAATTTTGAAAAACTTTATATCGGACAATAAGGAAAAGAGGTTCATGATTCCTAATAATTTACGGAAGATTCCCACATTTGCTATCACTTTGTAATTCTATTATTCTTTTAAAAAATCAGTATGGTGTAGACAGCAGCTGTATAAACCCATTACCTGTAAAATCCTCTAATATAAATTTTTTTCCCATTTTTTAATGAAAAGAAAATTCGCATGTACCAAAAAAAGTTCTGTGAAGGTGGAGATGAAGAGTCATCTGTGTTAATCAACAGAATATAAATGATGACTTAGTAAATTATTTCTTGTTTATTATAATGAAAAAAAAATTCAAGACCCAACAAAACAGCTAAGTGATGCATTTAAGTCAGATGTTATTTAGTGAATCGAGAGTCTGTCCAAAAAAGATTTTCCCGGAAGAACAATTCACCGATACAAATGTGAGTGAGTGCAAATTTGTCTTTTTTTTTTTTTTTTAAAGTTTAAAGCATATTTTCCAAAGTTTTCGCTTGTGTGCATGATATAAATCCCATAGGTCATTTTGTCAGCGACAATAAAAAGCACAGTTCATTAAAAACTGAAGTAAAAATCAAAGCAACTTCTTAGAAAACCCCAGTCACAGTTTTGTCATTGGTATATGCAGGCTGTTCCAGGGGCCCATCCAGAGCTCCTCGTCGTCTGAGTGCGTGTGGTCGCTGTGGACTTCCAGAGGGTCCCTGACGTTCTTACTGTCGGCCTCCTGTTCAACTGTGCTTTTCAGCCTGGGGCCCAGCGGCCTCCCTGCTGAGCTGTCGGTCCCCACGGGGCAAGGGGCGAACGTGACAAGAGTGGGCCTTGTGTTCATCTTCTCGGTGGAAAACGGGCCCTTGGACAACGTGTTCAGGGGGACATTCTCCTCCTGTGTCACTGCCAACTTGTCGAGTTTCTTAAAGTGCCTCCCCAGGCGCACGGGGGAAGTGGCTTTTAAGGTATCAGCGAGGCAGGCCCGGCGGGTTCGCAGCACGGAACCGTTCTGTGCGATATAGATATTGCCATTGATGTTGCTGTGCGGGCCGCGAGGGTGCACACGGTTCCTCTGACACTCTGGGGCGCTGTCTTCTCCAGTGGAGCTGGCCTCATACTCGCGGTCCACGACCAGCTTGATCATCCGTCTCCTGGCCCACTGCTGGGAGAAAAGACAAAGAGTCACTGTCACAGGAATCAGAGGGGCAAAGGTTACAAGGCTTGTGAAATTCAACACCCGTGATGCAAAGCTGTCGGAGGTAAAGGACTGGAGAGAGGTAGGAAGAAACTACTGTCCATTCGTGGCCCAGCCCACGACTGGTAGGGCATCCCTTCTCAGAGTCAAGTGGGGCTCCCTTAAGGAGCTGACTTTGCAGGTGCACTTGTGTTGTTGTAGATCAAGTTACTGCTCTCTGTGAAAAACAGGTGTATTGTTTGTATCGGAGTGAGGATCTCATCCACTGTTGGACAGTGGCTACACATTTCAGGGAGGTCAGCTTAGAAGGCAGGCACAGCATTAGTATAGCCTGTTCGTAAAATCCTTCTTGTCCCCAAATCTTAAAGATATTTTTTAAACCTGCATTGTTCTAATTCCTAATTAATCCTGTTAGCCAAATGAGAAGCATCCTAGTGTTCTGGATACTTCATTTAAATATATTTAAATATATTTCATTTAATATACATGTTCTGTATATTCCACTTAGATGTATGTTAACTTGAACGAAAATATCTTCCCATCCTGAATAATTTACCCAGCAATACACAAAACAGTAAACAAATGATTGTGAACTTTCCTCTAGTAAGCAACTGGAACACATGAACGTTTCTACATTTTTCTTTCACCAGTCCACATCAGGAACGACAAGGAGTGAAGGGTAGCCAGTACTAAATAGTTCCACGTTTTCGGAATATGTGAACCACCAACATGTTGCAGTAAGTAAGCCACACTTTTTGGATTTCCAGGTATATCTTTCAAAGTTATTATGTTTACTTACCCAGAAGAATGTTTTGTGAAAATTCAATTCCTTTTTTCCTAAATCTTTAACCCCTACCCACAATGAAAAAGAAATGGTATATACTTCATTTTTAAACTTAATTAATTTCATTTAGCTTCTAGTATTTCCAAGCGCCAGCTACAAACCTGTTTGAACATGTGTGGGATTTTTTTTTTAAGTTTACTTGTTTTGAGAGAGAGCGAGAAAGAGAGAGTACACATGCAAGTGGGAGAAAGGCAGAGAGAGGATCCCAGGCAGGCTCTGCGCTGTCAGCACAGAGCCTGATGCGGGGCTCAGCCTGGTGAACCGTGAGATCATGACCGGAACTGAAATCAAGAGTCGGACATTTACGCCCCTGTGTGGTATTTTATGTACTACTTTTGGCCAGTTGAAATGTACACATTGACAAAAGTGGGCTTTTAGAGCTGTCACTGTTGCAAGTTGTGTCCTGATTTTACAGTCTGCAGTTGAGCCGAAACCCCCGTATGGATTCACGAAGCCACGCGGCCAGGCCGGGCGTCCCTGGTGAGCCGTGATGCCAGATGCATTCCCAGGAGCCCCACTAGGAAGTATTAAATATGGATTTGTTGCTTGTCTTCCACGACCCAGAAGAGAGGGGAGTCCGTGTCCCCTGACACCCTCTAACGCACACATACGCGTGGACAGCGTGGGCTGCCCTTTTCGGGCGTGCCAGTGTCAGGTCACACAGAGAGGAGGCCCACGACCTCCCTGCAGGCGTCACCCCAGAGAGCACACAGAGGGCACAGCACACAGAGCAAGGAGCACCGCACACTCCCACCTGTCCTGCTCTCAGAGGGCCGTGTCGTAGCCCTCGGAGCCTCCCGGATGCCTGTCCCGGCGCGCGTCCCTGCTGCTGTCCTGCTCTGGCACCTGGAAGCCCCAGGGCCCTCCAGACTGGCTCTCGCTGCTGCTGCTGCTGCTGCTAACACTACTGGCCGGCTCTGACTCCTCCTCGCTGGCCGAGCCCTCTTCCCCCGAGGCCGCCTCTGCGCTCCCCTCCTCGGTGACCTCCAGGCCTGCCGGCTCGTCCACGGAGGCCAGCTCACTCTCCCCTCCTGCTGCTGGCCCTCCCTCCTCCTCCTCCCTGGGCTCCTCCTCGGGCTCTTCAGGGGGCTCCCGTTTCCTGCCTTTGACCTCCTTGACCTCCTCAACAACCGGCCGCCTTCTGGCCAGAAAGATGTTCTTCCTGGCCTTCTCTCCTTCTGACTCTGTGGACTCCGACTCTTCGGATTCAGGGGTAGAGCTCTCTTCCTCCTCCTCCGAGGGCGTCTCCGACTCAGACTCCTCTTCCGTGGTCTCCGACTCGCTGAACTCCGACTCCTCTTCGCTGTACTCTGTGTAGTCGCTCGAGGATTCTTCCTCTGACTCCACCGTGCTCTCTGTGGCCTCGTCTTGGTCCAGGGTGAGCTTCAGATAATCCTTGTCTGCTTCCTCAAGGCGTCGCTGCCACTCTTCACTCTCGAGGTCCACGACGCCCCTCCTCTCGGCCAGCCCTCTAACTTTCCTGAAGATCATCGGGAATATCCTGGCCCTCTTCCACGTGGTGCAGGGAGGCTCGGCCAGCGGTGGCTTCTCGATGGTGACAACTACTTCCTCCTCCTCACTAGGCTCTCTGACTTCAACTTTAGGTTTTTTAATTTTCTTTGCCTTTTCCTGAAAATCACGAAAATGCAAGTGAAGTGTCAGCTGGGGGACGGTTACCAGGTGACCTTGTCCCACACAAGTTGGGCAGGGATGAACCTGCAGGTTGTAACTAGTTGTAGAGAATGAGCAGGCGGCTCTCCACCGTTCACCCCACTGCATCCAGGCACAGGGTGATCACAAAAAAGTATTTTATTTTGGCTTGTACTTTGTATTACCAGAATCTAACGCTTTCACATTTCTTTTTCTTATTCAGAGTTCATTTTGCGTCTTAGATCAAAAGAGAAAGAAGTAATTGTTAACTCTTCTCTCTCCCATCCCTACATGTTGATTAAACACTTTGTGTTTTCTTAAAATTTTAAATAATCAGGAAATTATGATACTTTATCTGACTGGTGTATGTGAAATTTGACTATTTTCTTAATTTTGAACAGGGAAAACCTTAGCAACATTTGTTTTTGTTTTTATTTTGGATAAATGTTTCAAGTAAATATTGTAGACAAGTATATAAATGACTCCTGTTAATTAAAACTAAGTGATAGAATTCCGTTAAAAATATTGGTGGTAATGCTTTCCTTCTGTTTGATAACTATACTGTTTTCATGATTTTTAGATATGCTGGATAATGTGGGAACCAAAGTGACCATTGTTTTGCAAAATACTTTTTATGAATTTGATTATGTTATTTTTATGGAGTCCCATTTAGGATTTTACAAGATATAAACTTCATTGTGGCTTTATTCCAGGTGTTTAACATTTTATCATAGGAAATAAGTTAAACATACACAGTAATGAATTTCCTTCTATAAACAAGGTGATGAAATGGTCCACATAATGAAATTTCCATGAAAAACATGTACTAAGTGAATGGGAGTTCTGATTTTTGAAATGTTTTGTAGCCTGCTATTCAAATAGGGTTACACATCACATTACCTCTTCCTCCTCATATTCTTCCTCGGCTTCACCAACCACCTCACCATACTCCTCTGGTCCAGCTGGCGGTAAGAGACGGCGACGGCTTCCATACTGAGGCATCTCATACCTGTAACAGAAACTTAAACTTTCAACACGTTTCTGTGTGGTCCTTGTAACCTTGACTGATCTCGGTGTTCTTCTTTGTCTTCATCACTCAATCAACAGACCTCTATTTACAGCACCTATCATGCTCCTTATCAACTAGTTACTAAAAACAGAGAGCAAGAACTACAACCTGATGGCCAATGGATTTTGCCATGCCGGTGCCCTGGAATAACAGCAAAAAGAACCAGGTTATTTCAGATTCAGGTTAGGGGAGAGGCTAGTGTGAAGGGAACAGCATATCGTTCCTTAATGAGTTGAAGAATTTAGAACATGAAATAGGTTCTTTGTAAAACTAATAGCTTGTTCACAACATAATGTCTCTATAGTTACAGCAAAGACCTGCTTCAGACATGATCTGGAATGGTATTTACATTTTCTTTCTGTGTTTTGGGAAAGCAGTTAACATGTGTGTGGGGTGGCTTGAAATGCTTATTACTGGGTTCTAAAGTATGTTTTCTTCCTAATTTCTCTTGGGCAAGTCTTGAGGCTGACTAGTTACATCAAATATTAAACATACCCTATGAAATAAATGGTGAATTCAGGAATTGAGCAAATATGTTTGAATTCTATTCCTCATTTAAATAAGTTTGAATTATTTTACTGCTTCATTAGAGTTGTGGTCAATATCAGCATAGAACATCAAACCAGAAGTGAATGTTAAAAAAATGGATAAAACCTGATTGAAACTAAAAGTAGATACATAATTCATTTTCAAGGATGAAATGGATGAAATCACATTTGCAACACAAATGCTAGTAATATCTAATAACTCATTTTTCATAAAAATATTGATACTGGATAAAAAAAAATCTGAAGATGTACCCATGCTCATAACTGTAATAATCTTGTCCAAATTCCTGGCCAGGATCAATTCCAGACTCCATGGATAACTCCTATTGTTCAAAAAGAGAAATTGCATTTGAAAATAAATTCTTATCACATTTCATATCTTATGAATTTAGATTTCCAGACCTAGAATCCCCATGACTCTCAGAACACTCCTGCCAACAAACTTTAATTTCAAATGTTAAACATATTCAGCATTTTTTTCTGGCTCCAACTATTTGACATGAAATAAAGTTATGTCATTAGAATGGAGGGGGTAAAAAAAAATACATTTTTTCTAATGGTGAGTCTATTAGATCTATTAGGTGAATCTATTAAAGATTACAGATGAGCATTTCACTTGTTCTTGGGTAACTTTACAAACTACCAGTAGAAAATATTTCACTGTATTTTAACTTGTTTTATTAACAGACTTTAGCCTGAAGGAATTATAATATTATCTTTAGCATTTTTTCATTTCCTAAGAACAGCTTCATAGTACCCGGAGCACTTCTATTCATTACATTTATTTTTATTAAAGGATATGATGATGATAATTTATACATTAATTCAGCACAACATTAATGTGTGAGACCGCTCAGGGATGTTTATATTTTAAAACCTGCTAATTCTAAGGTGCACCTGGGTGGCTCCGTCGGTTAAGTATCCAATTCTTGATTTCTGCTCAGGTCGTGCTCTCACAGCCCATGAGATTGAGCCCTGAGTTGGGCTCTGGGCTGACAGTGAGGGGCCTGCTTGGGATTCTCTTTTCCTCTCTCCCTGCCCTTTCTCCACTTGCTCTCTCTCGAAATAAATAAGAATAAATTGAAAAAGAAAAACAAAACCCCTAATTCAGTCTACCCACAAGAATGGCTAAAACAAGCAAACATCAAGATCAGCAGTCACATGTTTTGGCAGTGACATGGGGTAGCTGGAAGTCTCACATACTTTTGGAGAGATTATAAATGTGCCAAATCCTTTGGAAAATGTTTGGCAGTAATACTAAAGTCAAATATATGCATATCCTTTGACAAAAATTCAGTATAGTTCAGTTTATATGCTGAACATAAATGAGTATAAATGTGCACCAAAATACATCACTTGTAAAAGCCAAAAACCAGAACCAAAGCAGAAGTCCATGAGATACAGACACCTACCTCACACAGTCACAGAGATGAACCTCCCAGAGTGATGGGCAAAAGAAACACACGATTCTATATAATGCTATTTACATAAGCTTGAAACACAGACAAACAGATATGTGTGTTAGAAGCCAGTGAAACATTTCCAATCAGTGGTAAGAGTACCTTGGATAAACCTCGCTGGCTACCGTCTTGCCACCGTGCACTACAAGTCTACATTCAAAAAGAAAGTCTGGCCATGGGTGGCAGCTGAGAGTGTTACATTAAGGAAAGCAAGCCAGACATAAAGATACACATACTGGATGGTATCATTCATACATGGAGTACAAAAATATATAAAAATAAAAAGGCAAACTCATAAAGACAAAGATTAGCAAAGTGGTTGTCAGGGGCTGGGGGAGGTGGGGAGAAGTTGGGAAAAGGGTACAGATTTTAACTAGAAGATGAGAATGGTCTGAGGATTGAATGTATAGCATGGTGACTGCAGTTGATAACTGTGTAATTGAAATTTGGTAAAAAAAGATAACTGTTCTCACCAAATAGCAAATCACAACAATGTATACTTTAAATTTCTTATGGTTTTGTCAAATAAACAAAGCTGAAATTTTATATATATATATATATATATATATATATATATATATTTTTTTTTTTTTTTAATTTTTTTACCTAACATACTTATCTTAGGAAAAAACAAACAAGCCGGCTGAGTCATTGGCGGAAAAGAGAAATAATATCCGGGTGTTGGTATGGACAGGCTTCTAGAGAGCTAGTAGGGGGTGTGCATTTTGTAAAACTTTTTCCTGCTGTGCAGTATCACTTGCTTACTTTTATGTCTGTAGTTATATTTCAACAAAAAGTGCTCATTACAGAAAATGGTAGTGGGAAATGAGGTCAATAAGAATTGGGACACAGTTAAAGTCTAAATTTAAGTTATTCAAACTAAACACTTTAAATATAAATCTCTCTACCTATATTTTTCATATCTGTAGGCTTGGACTTTTGACGCATCTAAAACCCAACACAATTATACTGGTTTAAATGAAGCAAACTGATTTCCAAACTAATGCTTTTAAACTCTTTGGCCAATGCATGTTGAGTGTCATGCATATGGAGACTGAGAAAAGACCACCAACAGATTTTGAAGTTGAAACCTAAATGTTCATCAGTGGAAGAATGGATAAAGAAAATGCAGTACATAAATACAGCGAATATCACACAGCCTTATAAAAGAAGGGGTTGCTGTTATATGCAGCAACATGGATGAACCTTGAGAACGTTATGCTAAGTTAAATAAGCCAGTCACAGAAGGATAAATACTGCATGATCCCATTGAACAAGGTGTCTAAAATTGCCAATCTATAATGATATGGCCACGGGGTGGGGGAGGGAGAAATGTGGAACCGCTTTCAACTGGTATAAAGTTTCAGTGAAGCAGGATGGAAAGTTCTAAAGATCCTTTATGCAACACTGTTATTATAGTCAACCGCACTGTGTTATCCATGTAAAATTTAAGAGGGAAGATCTCAAGTTATGTGTCGTTACAACAATTAAAAACAAAAGTCATTTTGAATTTTGATAACTTTTGGCAATACTGAAAAACAAGTATTTATGGAAACATAATGCAACTGAGTGAATTTCAGATTTTCAGAGTTAGAATCAAATAATTTCCTTTACAGACACACACTTTTATTCTCGTAAAGGGAGAATAGGATATATACCTGTTATCAGATGACTTAAAAAATATCACAGAAGGATAGAAGCAATTGGAAAGGAATCCAGGAAACTTAATCCTGGATTCAATCAGTCACTGTGTTGTCTGAGCTAGGTAAGAAAAGACAGAAGCTGGTAGAAGGGAATCATCTGAAGGGTCCCTCTTGGATTCTTATATCATCAGTTACTGAAGGGCAGAGCATCAACTATGCAGAGGTAGATGATAGATAGATAGTTAACAGATAGATAGATGATAGGTAGGTAGACAGATGATAGGTAGATACATGATAGATAAGAGATTATAGATAATAGTACATAGATAGATACATAGATACGTACATAGATACACAGACACACACATACATGAAGGAAGGCATAGCAACCATCAGGCTCCCTAATTGGCCTCAACGGACTGGGGCTATCAACTCCTTCCACTGCCCCATGCAGTCCCTGTTGCCCCACATTTTTTCTGACCACACAGACAAGATAGAATTATTTTAGCAAATACTGACAAAGTGTAAACGTGTATACTAATGCAAACAAAAGCAACAGTATTACTACCATTTGCTGAGTTTCTTCCTACCGTGCTCCGGTGGCTGAGGTAGGAGCTTGTATATTCAATATTACTGCCAAGATTTTGGGGACGATGAAACGGAAGGAGCATATCTTGACTATGGTTTTGCCTAGAGTAATTGCCATTCGGATCTTAAGTCCAAGTTATCTGATTCAGTAGTCTATGGGAATGTCTTCCTAGAAATTTTAGCTAAAAGTTTACAAAAGTTGAATATTCCTGCCACTCAACCTCCAAATTTTAGAGAGTCAATTCTAACCACTTAACCACTTGGATCGCACTTTGGCAGCCAACTATGCCAAAAGAAAGATACATTTAAAATAAACATTATTTTAAAAAATTTAGATAGTGCATAGTGCATACAAGTATAAATTATGTGCATTCATTTTAAAATTCTGATTATCTTTTTCTCATGGCAGCAGGAAATGTCCTAGGCATTTTGAAATAGACATGTGTCCAAAGGCATCATGTTTGAATCCCATGAAATGATTTAAGAGTGTCAATCACAACCCAATTTCTACTTTTCCTTATTTCAGTACAGAGGCCAGAGCTCTTTCCTCAAACCCTGACTGGTCCCAGGAAGGGTTCTGATGCATCTAGATTCACTGAGACAAGAGAATGATCAAGTTCGTGATCTTTTTCAATGAGAGCTTGTTTTCAACAGGAGCCAAGGGCTTCCTTGTCTAACTCCTAGAGAACGGAGCTAAGGGTTCAGAATTTCAGCACCCCCCCCCCCCCCCCCCCACCGCCAGCAGGAGAGGAGTGATTTTCTCGCCTACTTATTTGTGTTCATGTTTAACCACCTCCTGTCTGTCTTGTACAATCGTGTTGGCAGTCACCCAGTCTGCCTACAGGTAGAACGGCCCTTAATTCCGAAGGCTCAGCGAGGTTGAAAAGAAAAGAAAACTGATACCTCTGGTTTAAGAAGAGAAGGCCTCAGCAGTTGCTGTTGCTGCCAAAGGAAGTTAAAATAGAACAAGGTTTAGAAAAGACTTCGGGTGGAAAAGGAAGATCGTGATTGAAAAGAGAGAAAAAAGAGGGCCACAGCTTAAAACTGGTTACCTTGGGATTATGATTGATCATTCATGTGATAGCAACCGATATTTTGACGATTTATGTTAGAACATAAAATAATAGGGATTTGCAAAAAAATCTCATCATTGTTGTGATTAACTTCAAATCACCTTAATAAGAAACTTATAAATAACTTTTTAGTACAAACTTAATATAGTTGCTTATGATTTTAAAAGCACTTTAAGTGCCACAGAATCCTTTTGAACAAGTCTAACCTTGTTTTAAATTGCCCCTTTTTTTTCTCCCCAATCACATTAAATGCAATCAGGTTCATTAGTGAGAAGGGGAGAGCACACAAAATCACGACACAGTTGTAATATACTCATCATCAATATTTAAGAAATGCTCCCCATTTTTCTTTTTACCAAAACATGAGTTGCTTACAGTCAGGCATTAAGCACACTTTCAGAGGTTCTTTGTGATTAGGGAAATCGTCCTTCCTCTGATTTCGTGGGGATCACTTCTTACTGCCTCCCAACCTCACCCATACTTACTGAAAGGAAACCAGGTCTCTATTGGTCCGTTTCACGATAATTTATCAAACTGTGGCTTACCCACGCTTTGAGGGGTGGGGGCGTGTAGCTACACAACATGAATCTTACAGGAAGCACTGGGAATGTGGGCACAGAAGTTCCGGGAGAAGTTCCAGCAGTGAACCAGACGTTTGAAAGGACCAGCAGGACAGCCATGAGATTGAAGGGCTACAGTTTCCACGACACGGCTGTGAGCGAGCTGGTCTAGTTAAGGCACTCACTTAAGGAAGCAGGAAGTTGGAGCTAGAGATATCCTGATCTGGTCTGTTAGCTGTTATAATTGTCCCCGAAAACCAGTTATTCTTAAACTCATTCGTCTTGATCTCCAAACACGTTAGGATTTGTGCATTTCTACACTACTGGTCAATCAGGGTGCACACTCATTTCACTATCTTGACTGGGAAGCTGTCTGCTAAACTCTGCTGGGTTCTCGGTGGCCTCATCGGCAGTACGACTCTCCGAGGGGGCGGCCAGAGGCCACTGGCCAGAACACCCACTATCATCTCCACAGACTCAGACTCAAACGAACACGATGGAAAGCCAGAGATTTCTCAGTCTGACCTTTCACAACTCTTTACGATCTTAGCTTGAATATGTTGGGAAGGAGCCTTGGACTGGTAGAAAGGATCAAAGTTAAGGAATCCTAGGTGGCTACGTTAGGTTTATAGCTTCCAAGAAATAAATTTGGTGGAATACTGGACAATATCAAGGAACAGCAATTCAGGCAAAATTTGATTTATCCTTGAAAAGGTGAGCACTTGGTATTTGTTCACCCACTTAAAACCCCCAAACAAAACGGTAACAGGTACACAAGAGAATAAATAGCACAGCACATTTGTTAAGTTTTGTTGAAATAAAGGAGAATACCCTGGTTATGAAAGAATGTAAACCAGGCCTTCCTATAATGCAAATATTTTCCTAGTAGGCTTGATATAATATCAATACCATAAAGCCCTTACCTCTGATGCATACCCTCTCCTGCAAGGCAGAAACAAAGAAATCAGTATTAAACAACTTAGAGTTTCAGATTAAATAAAATTATAGATAAAGGGTGTTTTTAAAAATGTGAGGGGCACTGAGAAGGTAATTTTTACTAAAAATTGTCTCGGTGAGAAATACAATTTGTGGCAGTATCAGGACAGGAGGATCGAAGTTTCATGCCTGCTTTACTAAAAACAGTGACCAGCCAAGACCCACATGCCATATGATACTCAACCATACACAGTCTATTATATCCCAGTGGTGTATAATAACACACTTTGACTCTGTTATTGTCAAGTGGATCAAAAGTATTCTATATCATCTGCATCCTAGACAAGTTTTAATGTATATAAGATGCTCATTTGGGGAAAAGATTGTTTTAGACATGAAAAGCATACTGGTACAGAATGAAAAAATTTCCTCAATGACTACAATATATTCTTCCAAACATTTGTAAGGTTTTTTTTTTTTTTGTTTTGTTTTTTTGTTTTTTTTTTTTTGTCTCTTTGCATCAATTTATTCTAAAAATAATGAATGCAAAATACCGACTAGCCTTTAAGGGTCAAGGACATTATCAGACATAATATAAGAGCTGACTATTGTCAGAGGTATAAGAGCCAAACATTCAATATTACGTAAGGATTTGTAAAGTTCATGGACAACAAGTTGGGGAAAGGTTTGACTGTAGTTGAGAGGGGAAAAAAATATATATATATAGAATGCTTTCAGTATTGAATGTCTTTAATTATAAAGATTTTTTCTCGTTCACTAAACAGTTGATCTAAAGTGTTATATGTATAGTATGGTGTGAAAGACTGAGTATATAAAGCTAGTAACTGCTACGAAGAGGCACCCATAAAGTCCAACAAAACAATATCTGTAGAAAATTTCTTTAAAATATTACAAGGCCTTTACAAAAGAAGTCTACTTATCTGAACAAATCTTAAGTGGTTAAGGCATTGCTGATTGAAATGGTTGGTAATAATGGCAATACAATGCTTAGTTAATCCTGTCGCAATTTATTATCTGAAATGGACCTTCAGTGAGTTTTGCTTCTGTGATTCTGCCAATAGTTATGCAAATTATAATCCTTCTAAAGCATTTAGAAGTTTACTGGATTTATATCTTTCAGAGACAGAGAAAGCTCATAATTAGGTTTTAGTAATGAGAATTGAGTCACATACATGATATAAATGTCCAACGAAAGCTGGACTTTACTCTCCAGGATATTTAAGCTGCCTTTTTTGGTGCTTGTTTTTTTTCAGTAGCAGTCTTTTTCCTACGTGTGGAGAATAAAATACCAATAGATGAACTACACTGTTTCCATTAATCTTTTTGTTGTCTTTCACGTAGTTATTTGGATTGTCTCAGCTCAAAGGCAGAAAGTGACTTAGAAAAAGTACAGAACAGAATCAATATGTATAATTGTCTGTATGCTTTCAATTAATGTGACTTTCTGTTGACTCTTACAAGACAAGTCACATAATACTGATGCATTTTTATGCAGATGGTATTCCATGTGTGTTAATTATCATTGTATACCATTTGTATGCATTTAATAATAAGGAAAACATATGGTAACTTATATCTTTTATCAAGGCATCTAATAATTTCTTATGCACAATTGGAACATAATAAATGCAGAAGACAAATAATGTATTATGATTCTGGAGGTTCGTTGGCAGGTTGTGGGGGCTTATGGGTTGAGAAGGGAAATAATATTTTGGCCTACGAACTCAAAGAATATTTATAGGTCTCATGCAGAAGGCATTCGAACAGACTTTTACAATGAATCCAGGGATCTCTAAATAGAACATGAAATAAAACACTATTAAATAGAAAACATGGGAATGGATGTTTCATTTGAAAAGTGTAATATACTAATAAAATGTTTAGACTAAACAAATACTATAAAAACGATACAGAAAAGGACAGTGTGACAACTCAGTGAGGCTGCGCATACCTACATAAAACTGTTATTTGGGGTTTTCATAATATTTCTTTATAATTATTTAGAGAATATATTAAAAATTTCTCATATCCAAGAAGTTGATACAAATAGCTTAAAAAACACACACACTCAAATGAAAGGCTTACACAATTATGAATAATACCTTGTCAGAGTCCGCCAAATAGCACAACTTCCAATGCATATGACCAGCTGCCAACAAAAATTCCAACTGAAATGTTTCAGTGAAAGACAGAAAAAAATCAGGTTCAAAAACCCCAAGAAGGAAATTACTCTTGATTTGGATGAAAAGAATCTGAAGCAAAGGAGCTAATGAAAATAATTCGATTTATAGATTTTTCAAAAAATCTGATACTATTAAGGGTGACAGACCAAATTCTTGAAGAAATATCACATAATGTAAGAGCTGAACAAAATCTTTGAAATGATGCACTATACGGGCCTACGTTAGGTATCTACAATGGAGATCACCTGGCAAGATTTTGGTCTACATTTTGAAACCGTGTTTTGTTTTCCTGTGCAAACTTTTATCTTCTACAATATTAAAACTGCAGAATAAATCAAATAATTACGCTTGTATTTAAAGTGGGGATTTCCAGTAAATAAAATGTATTCCATGGGTTAGGTGGGAAAACAGAATAATTACTTGCTAGTCAAGTGTAGTTTTCATTAAAGAGATTGGAAGATAGCACTTAGCTCAGCTGAGGTCTTTAAGAATTTTCCAAGTTGAGTTCTGAGAAAAACTACAACATAACGTGTTTTTGGTTTTTTTTTTTTTTTTTTTTTTGAGGATAAATTTTTATCTTCTTCACTTAAAACAAAGAGTAAAAGCCTATATAAAACTGATGACACTTCACCAGACATATTCTTTCTTGATTTCTATTTAAAGTTTTTATATCTTATTTATACAAATAAGTTTGGATGATTTATCCAGAGTAATTAAAGGTAACTAGAAATGAAGCCAATAATGCTGTTCTAAAATTACGGCAGGCAAACGTTTTATATTATTGACAAACTTAATAAAAACATTTATAATTGTCATCAATCAAATAGCAACTAAATTCATACTAGATAAACCTCTGTAGACATTTAGTTAACTTTATTTTGGTGAAACTAATTAGAATTTCTTTATTAAACTGAGATAAATACTTTCTTTGAAAGAGAATCTTATGATAAAATTATAATGACAAGATGATAACATAATGTGGGCAAGCAAAACCAAAGGTCCCTGTCAACATCTGTGGGAACAATGAAATGTCTTATAAAAGCCAACAGCTCAAGATTTATTTTCATTATAAAGAGGGGAAGAGAAAGCATAATGAGAAATAAGTAGACTAAGACAGTAACTGAAAACATAAAAGATTTTTCAACTGTATAAGCACACTAGTAAGATAAAAGCAAGCCAGACTGAAGACTGTTCATGTAAGAAAACAGATGACTACATCTTATAGCACCTGGGATTTATTTTGGAACACCATAATGTCTGTCAACTCCTACATTTCTAGATACATAACATTTTTACTTTGGTAGTATTTAATCTTACCAAATACATCGGCTTCAAGGAAGAAACAGAACCTATGATATCATTTTTTTAGCTTATTTTAACAGTTTGCTTTTTTTTTTTTTTTCCTGGAGCACTCAAATAAAACTATGATCAGGAAGTAAATGTAGACGTTACTGCATTAACATGTTAACAAACCACTGGTTTAAGTTGGATATCTAACTTTCTTGCCCACATATTCCCACTGAAAAATAGACTGGAATTACTTACTTTTTAAAACAAACGTAGACAAATAATGCTACTTCGTAGTTAAGAAAATTAAGGTAAATCTATAATATGAGTTAGAAACGATGAGGTTAATAATCTTTAAAAGTAAAAAAAGAGGGAAAAAACAGCACTGCACGGAGTTTTGGGTAAAAGAATGGAATCTTCTCTAACGTTCCCATTTGCCTCCACTCGAAGATTATGGTCAACAAAAGAGTTGTCCGGTTAAAACACGAAGAGCAACATTACAGGGAAGTAGATTCGCTGTGAGGTCGGTTTTCAGTTCCCTCGACAATCCTGTGCAAACTCCCCTGGTTTTGTCCAGAGGTCATTTCCACATTTTCTGTCTCTGGAGGGCAACTAGTTTCAAGGTCTGAGTTGTGCATTGGTGGGAAGTTTTTTTCTATTTGACTGTACATGTTAGCTACTGACTTTTCAAGGTCTGCTACGTTTTTAATATGCTTGAGGATGCCTTTTGGTTCCCTTCGGGGATCCGCCTTGCACTCCGTGGCGGATGCTGGCAGCTGTGTCCCAGAGGACGTCCTTTCCTCCGCTGGTGTTACACCGACAGTACCTTTACCAGCTGGTATAGGGACACACCTGGTGGATGGAACCGAAGGGGGAGGAGACAGTGGAGAAGGAAGAGGGGGGCATGGTGGAGGGAGGGAAGGAGGGAAGGGGAGAGGGAGGGAAGGAGAAGTAGAGGGAGGGGAAGGGGGGCCGGACAGCGGAAGAAGTGGAGGAGGAGGATGGGAAGGAGGAAGATAGGAAAAAGCAACAGGAGTTGGAGGAGGAGAGATACGGGGTGGTTCGGGAAGAATTTCGAAAGTGTTCCTTTCGGCTTCGACAGTCAGCATACACACGGGTGCCTCTCTCCTAAAGACTGGAGAATGCAAAATGCCAGGCGTCGAAGGAGAAAGTTCCAAGGAACAGTCAGCCGGAGAAATGGCGGCATGAGGCTCTGACTGGAGCTCCACAGTTCTTGACACAGTTGGCAAAGTGGAGAAGGAGGAGCGAGGTGAAGGAGAGAAACAGGAAGAGTCCGAAGATGGAGAGGCCACGTGTTCTGTTCCCAACACAGGCAGTGAATCACCTGGCCTCATTTCCTCTCTCTCTGCCGCCTGCGTATCCCCGGCTCTCGGCAGGGGCCTCCCGCTACCTCTTTGGTTTGGACAGGTTCCAGGGCTTTCCTTTCTACCTTCCCGCCCGTTGCTCTGCCAGTGCTGCAGATCTGTGGTCTCTGGTCTCGTGGGAAGTTCCCACACTGGTCTCTGAGGGAAGCAGACTGGCTGATTCCACATCCTCTGAAACATTTCTCTCGGGCCCCTCAGGGACTTACTCCTGCCTTTCGGTCTGGGTAAAAGTGAGTCTATGAAATCTGTTCTTAGCAAAAAGTCTGAATTTGTTGGTCTTGGATTTACGGTTTCCTTATAAAGAGTACTGTGGGTGCTCAAGGCGTCCTCATCAGATACCAGTGGGAATGTTCTGGCCGACGCGGGCTGGTCGTTAAGTGGTCCGTCTACACGAGCCTCTTTGTGAGCCCAAACGGTGCTGGAAGAAAAGGGCATCCCACTGTGTTGATTTTTCCTGTCTTCTGAGACTGATTTATTTCCCCTGCTTTGTTGGAAATGGTAGAGAAGGAAAAGACTTGAAAGAAAAGAACATAATGAAATGTAAGGAAACAGGTTGTGACATAACTTTCACGAGAAAGATGTCTTTATGGTTCTCGTCACTACTTCAAGACACAAGAGGCCAAGTGACACTAATCTACCGATTAGCAACACTAATCTACTAATTACTTTCGTGCCCTTGGTCTCAGAAAGGCAGGGCAGGAAAAGCCTGAGAGCTGTGAGTGGCAGGAGAAATTTTCATTTTTAAAACCTGTGTCAATCTGTAGGCTGATTTTTTTTCCCCTGATTACTCTGATACAGCGAAGTATCCAGAGCCAGACATCCCAGTTCTCGCTCTTTTTAAAGAAAGTTTAATTTTATTTCTTTTGAAGGGGAGATAGAGGGCAAAAGGGATGGGGCAGAGAAAGAGGGAGAGAGACAGAGTCCCAAGCAGGCTCTGCACAGAGCCCAACATGGGGCTGGAACTTGGGAACTGTGAGACCCTGACCTGAGGTGAAATCAAGAGTTGGAGGCTTAACCGACCGAGTCATCCAGGCACCGCATAACAGTTCTCTTATGTCGAAATCACGATCCTCCAAGTTGCAAACCAGGGTTTTGGCGAAAGGTTTTACATCCTTTGCTTTGCTTTTTTTTTTTTTTTAATTTTTTTTTTCAATGTTTATTTATTTTTGGGACAGAGAGAGACAGAGCATGAACGGGGGAGGGGCAGAGAGAGAGAGGGAGACACAGAATCGGAAACAGGCTCCAGGCTCCGAGCCATCAGCCCAGAGCCCGACGCGGGGCTTGAACTCCCGGACCGCGAGATCGTGACCTGGCTGAAGTCGGACGCTTAACCGACTGCGCCACCCAGGCGCCCCTCCTTTGCTCTGCTTTAAGGTGCTCAGAGCTGATGGTTTTGGGGAAAGGATCCTTCGCTGTATCTGATTCGGGGTCATTATCTGTCATCTCAGAAATTGTGTCCTGGAGCTAAAAGTACTCTCGTACCTGCGGTGCAGCTGACCAGAGAATGCAGAAAGGAATTCTCTACTCTCCAAGGACAGACGAGAGACATTTCTCTCACAGGGCTCAAAATCACAATTGAGAAATGGAACCGATGTCAGAACCTTGACAGAGATTACTTTCTTCGATTTCCATTTTAAGCTTCATCAGTTTCAAAACGCTACCAACATTACCATAAGAGGGGTTAGCGGTGTTTAGTTTGAATGTGATCTGCGTCCAATTTTGGTCAAGACCGACTTTAAGGAAAGGTTTATGGTAAAATAACAGCTTCGATATCGCTGCAAGATGTGCTCAGACACTGACACTGAGTGACGGGCTGCGAGTGACAAACGCAATTGAGTAGGTGAGGGGACGTGAGTAAGGGTCTCTAAGGAAAGCATCGGTACGTCCCCCCCACCTCCCGGCAAGGCTGGGTGCTTCCCAATAGTCTCTCATTGAGTCTTGCTCTCAAGCCCAAACAGAGTAATGTTGACTTTGGTTATTATTTAATCTCTAGCCACACAGGAATGAAATAAAAGGAGATACTGTGAATAAAAATTAAGTAGCCGTGCTGATAAGAATGACAGATAAGGCAATAAAATGCTATATAAAGCCAGAGTTGTTACTGAATCATTTCACTAAGATACAAACTATACGTGGATGTGGGGCGTCAGGCCCCCTTGTATAATTCAGGAAGGACAGCTAATGTGGCTTAAACAGACAACAAACACTTACTTCTGATCTTGCCAAGTCATTCTTTTTCAAAAAATGGACTTGACATATTATTTGGCAATTTTTTATAGATTTGTTCTTGTTTAATTTTTCCTGGAAAGAATGATACATAATGATACCACATCACTTTTGATGGAGAGGTATCTTTAAATATTTTAGGATATTTTAATATCTTTAAATTTAAGCATTTTAAGAATTTTGATACTTTGTCTTGAGAGGCACAGGTACTGTCAGTGAAACACTTGTTTTAAGTTCACGCCATTTCAAGATACCAAAAGGGAATGAGATATGGAAGATAGGACTTTGTTTTTAAAAGCCGACGACTCCATAATAGAAGGCGACGATTACTGTATTTAGAGGAAAACAGTAGTTAATCTATTCTATTGTATCTTTTTACCCTAATGCCTTGTATTAGAATGATATGATTTACTTACTTATGCCTATGTATCCACAGGTGGGAAAGAGAAAACCATGGGACAGAAAAAAAAGAGTTTGAACTATAGTTAATTGGAGGTGATTATGAAAATACTAACAGGAACTTGCTTTAAACATTTAATATGTATATCCAGAAAAGAAAACATATGTTTTTATATTTTCTGTGTATTTACTCATACAAATGACATGTGCTAATAGTTTAGATAAAATTATATGGCACTTATCCAGTGGTCTCATCACAGAAAGTAGCTAGCCATCCACTTCCCGTGCATAGGCAAAATTCACCTTCATTACACACGACTGATTTCAGCCCCCAAACAGAAATTTTAAATGAGATTCTAAGAATAGTTTCTACGTCCTAACTAAAAAAATCAGTCCGCGCTGATTTATAGAGAAGATAGAACTAGGGTTTGCAAGAAAGTGAACATATAATACTATGATGACTATCACAGCAGTTGTTGAATCCGTACGAAGTTATCAACTAGTTCATGAAGATTCTTTTTCAAAATGACCTTTGATTTTTTTCTTTTAAATTTGATAATAATTTATCTGGAGCTAGTCCATTTTTTAGTAACATAAGGTTTGAATCCTTGTATAAAGTTTTTTAAGAGATAGGTCAAACATTTGTTAAAGATAATTAAATGTGCAGAACTCAGGATCCCTCATTAAATACATATTATAATTGCAAAACTGTCTACTTAGTCTATCACAATTTTTCAAATAGAAGTAGTCCTTAACTGTTGCTATTTGAAAATGATCACCACCACACTATATTGATTCCAGATGATGTTATAGTATGCTTACTTTTCTTAAATAAAAATGAATATATATCCCTCAGTAATTTCAGGGACAATAAAACTTAACACATAAGTCTTTCTTAGTTTCTGAATATTTTTTTGCTGGAGAGAGGTGGTTAATATAAAGAGAATCAAATCGTATTGGCTCAATTCCTACATTCACCAGTAATTCAAAAAGATACCGTCATTTTCAGCTCATTAAAAAATTAAAACTATATTTAAAGCATGAATCCTGTATTATATTGTTAGTTTAGAAATAGAGTGTCAAATACTAAGCTGTCAAGCATTAAATTCAATTTTAGCATTCAAATATACAACATTAAAATCAGTTTTAACATTTTTGAAACTTCTTAACATCACCTTGCGCATGTCGGGATGAGCACTGGGTATTGTATGTAAGCCAATTTGACAATAAATTATATTCATAAAAATAGTGGTAATATGACAAAATTATCGATACATGTGTTTAAAACTGGTTTTCCCATTAAAAGGTAAATTTCTTAATTTTTGAGGCTTGCTTTATTCCTACTAGTAAATGCAACAAATGTAACAGAGTAGAATAATGTGTTTTAGTCCCTCAACTCTACCAAATTCTAGTTAATAAAAGGTGTCTTGGATTTAATTTAGTCACATTCAAAATTTTATAATATCCTTGGTTGTTTTGCATTTCATGTCCAGAAATCGTTCCTCTTTAATTTTTAAAACATAGGCAAGTTAAGTAAGTCAGAGAGGAATCTGGTTATGAGGGTAGCACCAATCTGGAAACATCTGTGAAGTCTTTTCACAATACTTTAAAAGTCTTTCACATGTGTATGAGTTAATATTGCTTAGAGGTTCCAAATAACACAGGAGAAGTATTAAGCTATCACAGCAGTCTCTTTTGAGGGGAATATAATAAAAAGCATATTCTTTAAGGGGTTGGATATTTAATATTTAATTCTTTATTTGGCTTTCAGATTTTCACTCAGATTTTAATTACTCCATCCTATGACATCCCGAGACAGTCTCTGTAAGGAGTCTATGATTTTAGACCATACCATTGGTTTTAAATTACCAAGTAAGAGTTGCCTTTGGATACTAAATCAAGAATTACTCTTTTATGATTGTGCTTTACCCTGTCTTTATTTCTTATGAGAAAAAACATTTTTTTCAGAATGTATTTTGAATTTTGGAGGAAAAAAAGTGCATAATTGTGAAGGTTTAGAGATTATATGATTCAAGCTAGTCATCTACAGATGTCTCTCCTCCAGCCAAGTGCTTCTTTCTCTACTCATTTTTTAAAAATGTTATTTTGTTTGTTTGTGTTTTGGTTATGACTTTTCAATTCGACTTTTCCTAGCTTCTCATCTTAACAATTTGTTTTCTTTTTTTCCCATTTAAAGTAGTAAATGAAGTAGGCTGCAAACCGTGTTTCCGCATCGGGTGGAAATGAAATACTCACCACCCAGCATCCATCAGGCCCACCTGTCTGGCAGAGCAGCGCCCTGGCCTACTTACATGGTGCTGTCTCCCAGCTCCTCATACAGGTGCGCCCCGGGGGGCGGCGGGGGCGGCGGGGGCGCGGCCACAGGTGCGGGCGCAGGTGCAGCAGGCTTGGCTGCGGGTAATGCCGACTGGATTCGCGCTGTCTTGGTGCACTCGGCTTGGCGTCTTTGAGAAGGGAGGGATGTTGTGGAAAACCGTTTTAGAAATCATACACTTCTCAGAAGAACCCACTTAAAAAAATCATTAACACAAATACTAGGACTTATAAACCAGTGTGATTACAGCAGCATCCCCACAGAGTATCGTTTTCCTGTATCTTCTTCCCCTTTAAAATATCTACCCTGAAATAATGGCTGGAATTTAGTAGAAATATTTGCATATTACGTGACATAGGAATATGAAAGGTAGGAGTCAAGCTATCTATAAAAATGTGATTTAATAATTGGGGGCCATGGAGTGGGTCTCCTTCCTCAGGTGAGGCACGTTGAAGATGCATAATTTTTCTTTATTATTCATCTTCCATCTAGTTCAAGAAAAGTTATTTCATTTTAAATGATTTGAAACACGTTTGACATTAGTTTACGGTGCCCCTTTGGGAGAGAGACGTGGCTGGCTTTTGTTTCCTTTGGACTCCTGGGAGGCCTGGGATTCTTGCCTTGGAGTTGCAGCCACGCTTATTGAATGTCCTGGACAGCCAACTCTTAGTTCCTTCCTCAAAATCCAAATCTCAAAGAGTGGGAACCGTCAGAGTCAACTGTCTTTTTCACATTTCCTCCCTCCTATCCCCATGTGAAAACCCAGCCTGATTCCTTACATACAAAAGCACATGGGAATTTGAACCAAAGTATACACCTTCTGCAAACACAAGACAGACCGGTGATCCATGGTTCTGAGCAGGCCGACTACTTTATCAGTAGAATCCAGGCCTTTCCTTTTCATATTATGTAAAATCATATGCGAGATATTAATTATACTTACACTTTAAACCTGTTTTGAAAAGCAATAAGAAAAAAAAGAGAAAGCTACATTAGAAATTCTGCGTTCATAATATTTTAACATCTGATTTATTCCAAATTCTGAATAATTTACTGGTGAAACTCTTAACGACACAGACCTATTGACACAGTAGGGAAACTGAGTGTTTCAGTTCAGAAAGTAAAAATGGGGGAATGCTTTATTGTTGCTGTCACTGTCCTACAAGCTGTGAAAACATTTTTTTAACAAGAAAACAAAGAAATGAACTAAATGGGATTTCAAAAAAAAAGCTGGATTAAAACATGGATACATGAATTTGAACTCTGATAGAGAAATGGGTTAATAAAGGTGATCTGATCTTTATAACTGGCTTCTTGGCGTCCTGTGCCTGAAGAATGTTAAAGAGATGAAGGCAGGCAGTGGGCTGATTATACCCTGGGCTTCACTTTGCAGCTGAGCCTGGAACTGGAAGGTGACGTGCCTGGATAATGAATCCATGACACTTTTTTCACATTTGCTTCTTAGTTTTCCATGTACAGTGAATTAAAAAAAAAAAAAAAAAAAAGAATGTTAATAGGAAAGAAGAGCCATCCGTTCCAGTCCTATGTACAAGCAGAATATGAAAGTACAAAAGCTAGAGTTTTAAATGTGAGAATTTTACACTGACACATGGCGCACAACTCCTCTTGTTTAATTCCATCGGTCTACAAAAAGCAGTGACTACAATCAATTCATAGAGTATAGAACTCATTACTGAACCAAAAAAATATTAAATAATGCATCTATGAAACGTTTAAATGGCAAGCATCTTAGTGGTTTGTTAAATTATAACATCCAGGATGCTTCAGTTTTGAGCACTGTGTTGTGTGCCAGATAAAAGTTTTCTCTCCGATTTTATTGCGAGCAGGATTCCTCTGGGAAACAGTGCAATGAAACAGAATAACTGTAATACAGGTTCGCTCCAACATGAAAATTAATATTGAGTTGATGGCTTAGTAATTCAAAACCATTTGTCCATTATTAAGTTTGTTTCTAGCCTTTAGAATTGGTGCATTTGTTAAGGATACATCAGACTCCAGTAGGTCAACCTGAAAGTTCTGTTTGCAACTTCACATGGCTTTGGCGATGACAAAATATCCCTATGGCATCTTCATGCAGAGCACACTTTTCAACTTTTAGGTTGCAATTATCTAACCTTACTTAATCTGAAAGAAAATTCTCAGTGTTAGAGAACAAAGGTAACACGTTAAGAATATATAAGTACCATTTTAGTGCTTTCCCTGCAGGTATTTTACATGATGAAGAGCAGCTGCACCATTCGGTCTTACCCTTTGTTATGTCAAGTAATTTATATGACTTATGATCCCCGTCTTATTTATTTTCATTTTATGGCACCCTTAGGGCTCCCTCTCTTCTCAACCTATTCCACAACTTTCGTTACCCATCACTGTCAATAGGGATATACCTGACATGCCTGGACTTCTATCACAAAAGTTCCCTGTACCTGGTGTGAAATAAAGAATAGCTTAATAGAGGACTTCAAATACAGATGCTTAAATCAGCTATAATTACTTCACTACTTTGAAGGGACAGAGTAAAAGATAGGTATTTTATTTTTAATTTTTTAAAAATGTTTTATTTATTTTTGACTGAGAGAGAGAGACAGAGCATGAGCGGGGGAGGCACAGAGAGAGACAGAAACACAGAATGTGAAGCAGGCTCCAGGCTCTGAGCTGTCAGCACAGAGCCCGACGCGGGGCTCGAACTCACAGATCGAGAGATCATGACCTGAGCCGAAGTCGGACGCTCAACCGACTGAGCCACCCAGGCGCCCCAAAGATAGGTATTTTAAATGAATGTATTTGCCTGTAGGAACAAGAAATGAGTAAGGCCTGTGCAGCCAAAATATCCTGTCCTATGTTATACTACAGGATCTGGCAGGGCTATCCGGGAAGGAAGAAACCCCATGGAGAATTACACATGGCATACTATGATTTTGAAATGATTTTGCCAACGCTGCGATCACTTCCACGGATGTCAGTGTAACAACACGGACAAAAACTTGTCATGACAGTGTGGATAGGTTGCAGACCTTCCTCAGAAACCGGGGAATCTGGATATGGCATTCTGCTGCGTATGACACCTCCCCCAGGACACCCCTGTATTCTCTCGCAAGGCTCTGCACCCGATGAGGGGCACGAACAAAGCCACAGGAGCTACCCTAAAATTCCTAACGGATGAGAGCATGTTAGGAACATGGCAGCATTGAGGAATCGGGCAAAAAGGCTGGAAGTCTGTTTCGTTCCGCCTTAAAGGAAGGCCGCTTGGTGCAAGAAGGATGCAGCAATCCCCTAAATGGTGGCATCATTACTGTTTTACGACTACAAAGCCACGTTGCCAGGGATGGCTTTTCGATCAGGCCATGTTTAGAAGTGGGAATACTTACTGTCTGTAGCTGACCAGAACTACCAAGATGGCAGGGATACAGCAGAGGATGATGATGAAGGCGAGTGCAAGCAGGGCCCCCTCTGTATAGCCTAGGCTCTCTCCTCGCTTTTTAATGCTGGTCACTGCCTCCGGGGTCCGGATCTCCAGAATACGTCCTCCTTCGCCGTAATACGGCTGAAAGTCTTTATTGATATCAAGCAGTTTGCCATCCAAAAATCTGATTGTCAGATAAATAGTAAAATCAATGATGTTAACAGAAAAGATAATTTTGTAATGTCTTTTAAAAATTTCTTTAATTGAAACACAAGCTGAATCAGTGTTAAGAATAAAAAATATACAAAAAGCAAGAACAATGAGGAACTGTAACTACACAGCTATATACACATATCAAAGATATTAATAATGATGACCCTTACTTCATATGCTCACAGACTTGAGAAAAGTAATTATCAACCTCAGTGAGCTTACTATCACTATGTTGAAATTACTGACATTATTCAGCTATTCAGGTGAAAAAATATTCTGAGTTACATATAGCATAGTTTATAATTATATTCCTGCATTTTGTCTGCCTGGGTCCTCAGAATAATCCTATAGAACAGAACATCTTAATACTAATTCACCGTAGGCCGTATAGCTACACAGTTACGGCAATGAATCTGAGACACCAAGTCTTCGGTCTCCAACATCTACATTTGTCTTGTATGTCGACCTTCTCAAATCCCAAATCAAAAAGCTTTTTATGGGCAAAAGGTGAACAAATTGAAAGGTGTTTCCCGCCTAGAGAGAGAGACTATAGGAATGATGCAGACAGCAAATCAGCCAGGATGACAAGAATTGGCCAACTGAAGCCAACAGTTCTTGCAAACCCTTCCTATGAGTAATACAGCTCCAGCTACGGCCATTCCATTGGGGTGGAAGGGACAATCAAGGGATAAGTGTTACTTAATTTTATTGGATTGAATGATTTTTTTATGTATTTTATGTTGTAATTACCAGATAATAGTTTTTTTTATTTTTTTCAAAATTCTTTGGGAACATTTGCATAATGCCTTATAAATCCCACAATATTAATGTAACAATTGTGTTCCTAACACCACAAAGCCATACCAGGTCCTGGGTATTTTCATTTTTGTATTTTTAAAGACGTTTATCCATAAAGGTCAGATATCTTACTATAGAAAGTTGGAAAACACAAAACATTTCCAAAAGCAAAATCAGGCACAGGCCCACAATACAAACGCTGCTCACAATTTGGTATATCCAGATCTAATTTCTTTCTATAAATATTTTTATTTTTTTAAGTTTATTTACTTCTTGAGAGAGAGGGAGTGCATAAGCAGGGGAGGGGCAAAGAGAGAGAGAATCCCAAGCAGGCTCCACACTGTCAGCACAGAGCCGGAAGTGGGGCTTGACCTCATGACCCTGAGATCACAACCTGAGCCAAAATCAACCTGAGTTGGAAGCTTAACTGACTGAGCCACCCAGGCACCCCAAGAAATATTTTTATATACTCATATACTTATGTTTTATATACTCATGTTTATATACTTATGATTTATATACTTATGTTTTATATACTCATATACTTATGTTCAAAATGTAGAAAACATACAGAAATGGAAAAGAAAAAAATAAAAACGGCCCCAAATTTCACCATCAGATGGTAACAAAGCATGTCACGATTGTGCATTTTACAGTCTATTTTTATCCCTTTGACACTTTTGATTTTAATTTTCCGGGTAATCATTCAGACCTTATATCTAGTGCACAGCGTTTATACCTTCCCTATGGAAAAAATAGATGCCTGATGTCAGATGTGAATTCCACTGGGTAGTTTATTAGTCTTCCCATTTAAGAAAACCAATGGCCCAGATAACTCAAGCTTAGTTTTAAAGCTGCACGTTTTTATTCAAGTTTCCATCCTGTAACACAAGACAGATAAGCTTTTGTAGATATAAAATATACTTTTATAGCAATTTTCCTAGGTAATTTTTAGGCATGTTAAAAAAGATATAATAAAGGTTTAACCGTTGTTCTAAGAGCTAGAAAAGAATGGTACAATATGTTTTTTGAATTGTTTACCAGATTAAGAAATTCCAGATAAAGTGCAGATTAAGAGTTAAGTTACAAGAAAACATTAGAAACTGGGAAGTATCAGAGGTAGAGAAAGATTGTTAGTTTCAGGGAAGATTTCACCTATATCATGTGGGATCCACTAGACAGACCACACTTCTACTGGGTTCCTGAAATTAACATTGCAATAACCTGAGGGAAGATTTTTTAGTTTTTTTATACTACAAGAGCTCTGTTATTTAGATATTTATTTTGGTTTATTTTCCAACTTAGGTAAATGTCATAATTGTTTACTAGAAGAGTTGATTGCTTTTGAACCTGTACCTAGTCTAAAATATCTTTCTTTTTGCTTTCTACATGCAAAACAGTTTGCCTAGGTAAAAATACATGAATCATAACATTTTTTTCCTCAAACGATGGTGGATTTGATTCCATTAGCTTTTGGCATTTTATCATGCATATGGCATGTGGAAGGCTTATCTAATTTTTGTGCCTTTGTAATTAAGTCACTTTTATTTTTGTTTCAATGGTTTTAAAACATATTCTGATACTTTTTAGTGACTCATGATGACATGTGCATTGATTTTTTCTGGTAAAGTAATGAAGTCTTTTAATTACTTTTTTAGCTCTTTATTGCTGTGATAACTAGTACAATATTTTACCTCAGAGATACTATTTTCAGATTGTAGCTCAATTGTCCTCTAAATACATTTTGATCTCTTTTATAATTTATCTTTTCTTTTCCTTAATATGCTTTTTTAAAAAGCGCTAATCTCAAGATGGTAGAGAATTCTTTTCTTATGTTTGTTTGTTTGTTTGTTTGTTTAGAGAAAGAGAGAGAGCAGGAGGGTGCAGAGAGATAGGGAGAGAGGGAGCATGGGAGGGGAAGAGAGAGAGAGAGAGGGAGAGAGAGAATCTCACAGGCTCTGTGCTGTCAGTGCAGAGCCCAGTATGGGGCTCAGACTCACAAACTGTGAGATCATGACCTGAGCTGAAATCAAGAGTCAGACCCTCAACTGACTGAGCCACCCCTGGGGCTTTGTTTTATACTCTTTCTGATGTCAGGACAAAGCCAGCTTCCATGCCAATCCTAGAAGAAGGACTCTAACTGGCCTCCCCTGGACTGTGTGCTGACCATACCCCATCGGTGTGAGCTCAGGAACCGCATCCTGAGGGGGGGCATGTCCAAGCGCACCCCGGTGGTGGACAGTCAGTTCTCACTCCTCCCCCGTGGGCTTCTTTCACCAGAAACAGGGAAGGATTCAAGGCCTGTGCAACACGCATACCATTTCACTGTCCCATAAGGTCCTGCTTTCTATTTAAAATGTTCCATTGTTTGCCAGTGGTTTCCGTACGAGAATCTTTGCAGAGTTAAACTCTACATTTGAGTCATCGGACGTTATTTCTTTTATTTTGTTTTCCAGTATTTATTACTGATTCCTATTTTGCCTGCCGCTTCCTTATCTTAGAGAGGAGATGTATCTGTCAACTCTGCCCTGTTTTCCTGAGATGAGATCAATTCGTAAACCAATCCCATGTCTTCCGGGTCACTCTGCTGACGGGGCATGTGCAGGCATGCCCCCACCTCTGTTGGCGCCTGTGGTGGGATTCGGCCATCAAAGTATGGTGTGGAACCACTGGTCTACCTTGCATTTTACCTTCGTGGAAAGGGTATTGCGATACACACATAAATGCAGAAACAAAGGAGACGCTGAACAGCACACACTCTGAACTTCACAAAACCTCAAACATAAATGGTGGAGGGGCGGATACCTCTTTCCCTGGTGGGTACACAGTCTGGGTCTCTGAACCAGGTATGCAGAGTGAGTGATGCTTAACACATATGCCCACACCCATTCCACTTGGATAAGGTTGTCTGGCTGAATAAAGCAAACCATGGGTAGACCGCTATTTCCTTTATACAGTTCCAAATTATGGACTAACTTGTATTCCTTCATATTTTATAGTAAGCTAGAGTCTGATAATTGTTTTTCCATTATTTAAATTTTCAGTGTTCTTAATTTTTATGTTGTTTTCCCTGGTCTTAGGAATTTGGAAGAAGCTTTAGAGTTTGGTAGCCAGATTCTATTTTAAAGTATAAATGTGATTTTTGTACACTGTATTTTATTTACTTTTATTTTTTAAGGTTATTTATTTACTTTGAAAGAGAAAGAGAGTGTGTGTGAGTGGGGAAGGGGCAGAGAAAGAGAGAGGGAGAGAGAGAATCCCAAGCAGGCTCTGCAGTGTCAGCACAGAGCCCAACGTGGGGCTCAAATTCATAAACTGTGAGATCATGACCCGAGCTCAAACCAAGCAAGAGTCAGACACTCAACCAACTGCCACCGAAGTGCCCCTATACACTATATTTTAAATTTAGTTTGTAGAGTATTCAGGGTTTTTCTACCTTCTTCTGCATTTCTCATTTACCATCTGGGCAGACTAATGTTAAAACAGGCTGGCTGTATAAAAAGGGGCATGAGCTAAAATTGTATTTGCTTTTATAAACAAATATTTAATTAAGTTCTATTTTAAAATAATATGGCCTGTTTCTGCCAAGGATGCCAAAAGCTGTAAGAGAATGTGACTCCCACCCTCATGACAAAAAGCCAGGTGATACTAAAACCATAACAAATTCCAAAGAGTGACAATTTCCTCCACAGGGAGATGGGACGATTATTTCACCCTTTGCAGAACACGGAAAAGGAAGCTGCCAAAAGAGCAAATAAAATAAATGGGCTAAAATTTTAATGAATTTTTAGAAGCGATGTACGTACCAACATGTAAGGCTAGAGGCCCTTGAACACAAGCGGGGCCTACCTTGAACTCACTTGCAGACTATTTATTTCCAAGGACCTCTGTCAGATAAACTGGGACAAGGCCGGAGACAGGAGAGAGATCCCCGTCCTGTGCGGGGACAGAGGAATCACTCGGCTAAGGCTGGATACGCACAGTTCTCCAGACCCCTATCTCATGCAAAGCAAGAGCCTTAAGCCACAGAAAGAGGGGAGGAAGTATTCCAATCCCTAGGGCTCAACCTAAGGACCGCTACTTCCGGGGAAGAGGCATAAGCAAAAATACCATCTCCCAGGGTGAGGAACAGGAGCTCTCTTGGGCACAGAGAGGCCGCCTACTGGTTGGGAGAGGCAGGGAACTGTCCTGTCCCCAAGACACACCACAAATATGGCACAGTATGTGGCTGCCACGGGGAGGGGGAAGAGAAGAGCCGAGAGAGCCCAGCCCACGTCCCGGGCACGCAGGCTGGACAAGGAGAACCCAGAGCCCCGGGCCATGTGGCCACATCTCCACCGTGAGAGTGGGACCAGGCCGTGAGCAAGGGCAGTCTGTCGGGCTGGGAGGGTTAAGAGAATGCAGAGAAGCCCCCAGCGGCACGGGTTCACGGGGTCTGCTGAAGATGAAGCCATGGAGCCAGACCAGAGAGACAACCCAGATGCTGGGACACCAGACAGACTTTGGTACAGCCCTGCTTAGTGCTTTACAGAATCCATCGGAAAGTGAAAAAACATGCTTGAAGTGATAGGAAGTTCCATAACGTGGTAGAAACTGTAAGAAAAGAACCAAATGGAAATGGAAGACTTGAAAGAAAACAAGGATATAAAGATGAAGAATTCCTTTAAGGAGCACATCAGCAGGCTAACACAGATGAATCGGTGAACTTGAAAACAAGGCAGCAGCAATTATCCAAAGTAAAACACAAACAGGAGAGATGGAGACAGAGAGGAGAGGAAGAACAAGAACAGAGCATCCAAAACCTCAGAGAAAAAATGAATTTTAATTGGAATCCTGGAATGAGGATAGAGAATGGGCTGTAAGAAATATGTGAAAAGATGTCTAAGGATATTCCAGAAATAGAAACTACATTAAAAAAAAAGCAGATACAAGAAGTTCAGAGAACCACAAGATGAATAAAAGCAGGATAAAAGTAATATGTATTTACTGCAAAAATCTAAATATTTCAGATAACCAAAAATAAAAAAAAGATCTAAATACTCATAACCTTACAAAACAAAGTAAGTAATTAGCATGTCGTTATAGGGATTCCAGTCTCCTCTATGCATTTATAAGCTTTTAAAAAAAGTTGTGAGGGGCGCCTGGGTGGTTCATTCATTTTAGTATATTTATTTGACAGAGAGAAGGAGGGGGAGAGAGAGAGAGAGAGAGAGAGAGAGAGAAGGGGAGGATCCCAAGCAGGCTCCACACTGTCAGTGCAGAGCCAGAGGTGGGGCTCAAACCCAAGAACCGTCAGATCACGCCCTGAGCCGAAATCAAGAATTTGACGCTTAACCGACTGAGCCCCCCAGGCATCCCTAGTTATATCAATTTTTAAAAATCAAAGTGGACTCCTTGGAGGAAATACCTTATTTATATATTTATATATTTCTGATTCTTTGCCTGAGAATTCCAACATCTTCAAAAGCTTAGATTTTTGGGTAAGGCAAAGTTGAAGTAATAATCCTTTTTCCATTAGACTGGGCATCAGGCAATAATCTTAATGTTCTAGTATATTTTTTCAATGTTAAAAACTAAATTTTCAATAGCTTTTGTAACTACAGGATAGAGAATAATATCAGTGCATTATGAGCCTTGGATTATGGACTACATCTATATAATTTCACTATAAAATATTTCAAGGAACAACTGTAGGGTTTAGGTTATTATATTAATAATAATTAACTAATAACATATTCAACTTATTATAGTGTCTCAGCTCCCAGCTCAAGCTAAGAGAAAATTTTATTGTTTTATTTTGTTTTATTTTATTTTATTTTATTTTATTTATTTTTTATTTTTTATTTTTTATTTTCAGAGAGAGTGAGCAAGCGAGTAGGGGAGGTAGAGAGGGAGAGAGAATCCCCAGCAGGCTCTGCACCATCATCACAGAGCCTGATGTGGGGCTCAAGTCAGAAACCATGAGATCATGGCCTGACCTGAGATCAGCAGCTTAACCAACTAAGGCACCCAGGTGCCACCACTCCCCACCTTTTGTTAAGTTTATTTATTGCTAAGGGAAAATTTTAATACTTCCTGGCTGTTCACTTCTCTGTTTAATATACAAATTTTGATTTATAGTTATCCTCTATTCTCCCCTTCCTTCCAGTTATAATTGTTATTCAGGTGAGTTTCTATCTTTACTCTTTACAATATAATCTAGGTTTGGGAAAACTTGTTTCAGTTGAAACCCAATTGGCTTCAGTTTCCAAACTGTTTACCTCTAAAATGTTTACATGTGCGGGGCGCCTGGGTGGCGCAGTCGGTTGAGCGTCCGACTTCAGCCAGGTCACGATCTCGCGGTCCGTGAGTTCGAGCCCCGCGTCAGGTTCTGGGCTGATGGCTCAGAGCCTGGAGCCTGTTTCTGATTCTGTGTCTCCCTCTCTCTCTGCCCCTCCCCCGTTCATGCTCTGTCTCTCTCTGTCCCAAAAATAAATAAACGTTGAAAAAAAAAATTTTTAAATGTTTACATGTGCAATCCAAATGATCAGGATCATTTACTTTACTCTTTATTAACGCTGGGCGAACTGCCTAAAGAATACAAATGTTTTTATAGTTAGGAAAAACACCCTAAATTCAAACAATCTATCATCATATTTAAAATTTAAACCAACATATATAAAAACACAGCAGAGGTGGATTTAAATAAGTGTTAATAATGGCGATAGAATATATGTAACTTTAAAGCATATTTCTAAATAAATTTTAAAATTAATGAAATATGCAAAAACTGGCTTGGCGGATCTGAATGGTACTTCATTCGGATGTTGATTCTAGAACTTGAGAAGCCACTGCTTTAGTCATCCCTATTCTCCACCGTGATTAACATGCTATCTTGCATACGGCCCAAATATCTATTAAATATAAACTGATGAATAACATACTTAATAACCACGGCTCTTTTAAAAATTAAGTTGATACAAATCACTATGTCATTATTTCTAAAATAGCAGCAGTGAAATTTTGTTGAAGAACAGATTTAAAGTAAGACTAAATTCAGAATGAATGGGTTTTAATAAACGGGTAAATAGATATTTGCTAAATACGTAAGTGCAGCCACATAGGGATATATGTACATGTAAATTAGTATACGCCTAAATTTATTTGTTGCTCTTAGTATACACAGGCAAACTAAGTTTTGGAATTATGTATTTGGGTACACATATGCACAGATACCAATAAATATTTAGCGTATGTACGTATGGTTATATATCAATATATATTGTTTAAGTAAAAATGTGTCTTACTTTAAATAAGAATGACATTCCAAGAATCTGTTGGGCGCTAGGTGTCACTAGAGCAAAGCTGAAACTAATAAAACAACAAAACAACAAAGCGGTAAGCTGTCCTAAAATCATTTCCAAGGGACAACACATAGCAGCGTTTTGTTTAAAATTCTGCATTTTCTTTGTTTTTAGGATTCAGACCTCAAAATTCAAATTCACCAGGATGAAATAAATAAATAGATGGGAAGTATGGACTGAGGTGGAAGGGGTCAAGGGGAAAAAAAAAAATAGCAATTTTTGCTGAGTCAATAAGACCTTGAGGACAGCTATATTTATTCTTAAACTTCATGCCTAGTGACACTGTCACGGGCACACTGCCACTGGAAGAAGGAATCTGTGCGTTCCCCCTTTGACCGCTGGGCTTGGCAGCAATGGAGAAGCTACTCTGAGACCATCTGATGAACTGCACCTTGCTTATGAGCACAATGGACCTTCCGACCTTCTCCAAAGTTGCCGGGCCTCAAAACATCTCGGCACGCATACCCTAGGTATCGTCTCTGATTTTCTGCTTACACTTCACTTGCAATAACAATTTAGTGGGTTTTAAACTTTAAATACTTACGGCCTTTGATAGTGCCAGCGGAGAGCTGTTACAGACAACAAAAGGACTTACTTAAAAAGCTCATTTCTGTCGATGGCTCTGTTGGTTTGGGGGTCGATTGCATAGACAGTCAGGTCACATTTGGTGTAATCTTCTAGCGAAAAGGCATCCCCATGCCTGCGAGCACCGATGGACTCCACCACCACTTTGGCACCAGGAATTTGCTCCTGAACATACCGATCCAAAATCCTATACATCAGAGTACAAACATGGCATTCACTCTCAACTTGAAATGACATTTAGAAAGTGAAAAGTGATGACAGCCTGGTTTTTGCTAATGTTTACTGAATGTGAACACTTGAAAAAGAATTCTGTATATTTTGTCAGCATTTAAGTCCCAATGATGCTAGAAGCTGAATAAGGTAGAAAGGTCATCGACCATGTCCCGTCGAATTCTAGACTCTGTGAATTTACGATACTATTTGAGCTTTACAGGTCTCATGGGAATTGCCCACTATGATGTACAAGTCAAGCTGTCTGTGCTTTATAGGAGCCGGGGGGGTGGGGTGGTTAGAACTCTTGAGTTCACGCAGTTGGTGTTACAAATTATACCTTCCACCAGATTCTGTGACCCAAGGTGCATAGCTGTATACCAGGGTCCCTCCCAGACCAGGCTATCTGTTTCCTCCAGGGCATCAAGACTCTTAGAACCTTGCAGCAGTGGGAGAACGTATAGATGCTTTGCTATGGGAGGTTTATCAGGTTAAAAAAAAAAAATTGCATGCCAGGCTCAGAAGCTACTTAGGTGAATACAAACAACATAAAGATCTATCATTTGGTATGGACTCAGTAACATTCAATAGAAAAGACAGAAATAATGTTAACCTGTAGGTAATTTTCTGGAAAATACAATTTGCACAATTTCATTTTAATGGAAAGTACAAGTCTGTATTGCCACAAATGGTAATTTCCTTAATATCTTTTCCTTATTAAAAACTTTATATTGTTAATTCTTGAGATTAACATCAGAATGTATCTTATTAAATATTTATAGGCATTCAAATGCAAATGAATTGATCTTAATAACTACACATGGCAAATGTTTTTGAATTTATCTATAGATTCAAAGCTCTGTTTGGAGTCCACATTGTGAGGCCCTTTCCAACACATGAACATAAGGGAAGGGAAGGGAAGGAAAAATAAGATAAAATCAGAGAGGGAGGCAAACCGTTAAGAGACTCTTAAAATTTTTTTTAGCTTTCATTTATTTTTGAGAGAGAGTGAGTGAGCAAACATGAGCAGGGGAGGGGCAGAGAGAGAGGGAGACACAGAATCTGAAGCAGGCTCCAGGCTCTGACCTATCAGCACAAAGTCCCATGTGAGGCTGGAACTCATGAACCATGAGATCATAACCTGAGCCGAAGTCGGAGGCTCAACCAACTGAGCCACCCAGGTGCCCCCATAAGAGACTCTTAAATACAGAGAATGAACTGAGGGTTGATAGAGGGGGGTTGGGTGGGGGATGGGCTAAATGGGTGATGGGTACTAAGGAGGGCACTTGTTGGGCTGAGTGCTGAGTATCATGTAAGAGATGAATCACTGGGTTCAACTCCTGAAGCCAAGACTATACTGTATGTTAACTAACTTGAATTTAAATTTAAGAGAGTGAAAAAAAAATTTAAAGAAATTAAAAAAAAAAAATGTTGCCTTAAGGGTCTGGTATGTGCTGGGTGTGCCCTTGTCAAAATAACAAGCACTGATGCTGAGCCCAGGCCAAAGGCTGTGCCGGGGAGCACAGGTGTGCAGTGTGCGCACCAGGAAACACAGCACAACACTTTGTTGGTTTGCTTCCCAATGTGTACGGACCCGCGTAGGCGGAGTCTCTCATTAAAAGTCTGATTCATTCTCTTCCTTTTCTGCCAGCTCACACCCACTGGTCTGGCTGCCTTCCAGTATCTTTTCTGATGAGATCTTTGCTGAAGATTAAGAGAAGAATGCATTCTCCCCACAACCTGAGGAGGGTGCATGGACGAGGACACAGATGTGGAACAGTGTTCAGACTGCGTCTTAGGATCCTTTTCCTTAGAGACTTATGCTCCCGTAACAAAAACAGAAACAAAACAAAAAACAAACAAACAAAACAAAAGAAAAACCAACAACAAAAAAGAAAGGCTTTGGAGTGCACCCACTTACACTCTTGACAGCTGATACAGGTACGGATGGTAATAGCATAGTGGCAAAGAGCACGGATGTTTGGATTCAGTTTCCAGCTCCTTTACTTATGAACTGCAAAACCTTGGCCCACAGGAAGCCATCATAGGAGAATCACAAAATGAGGAAATCTGCCGCATGGGGTGGTTGTGTGCAGTAAACGCACTAACGCTTGTAGTCAAATCGCGGCACGATTTGGAGCACTTAGTCACTGTTCCAGAAACTATGATGCTGCTTATTAATAATTTGGCTTAAAGGTTTGCATTAATAAGCTTATTCCCTGCCCCTAATTCGTTCAAGACATTTAACAAGTTTATGGAATGATTAGCAATTTTTCGCTAGCAATATTAGTTCACCGATCAAAAAGCAAAGATGAGTACATTGTTAAATACGTTGCAGAAGATGGCTATCAGTCCTGATACTTCACTTTAATAATTTATAACTGCTCTAGTGCATTCACACATTGACTAAACATGTTCCAAGGAAATCATTTGTATATGCATAAACTGTGTTTTTGTACAATGAAGAAACGTGGCTATTGAACTTGTGCCTTTTTCTATATTTCTGGGGAATGTTGCAGAGTCATATGTGAGTACTAAAACTGTGGAATGAAATATTAATGTGGAATGAAATATATCTGTACGAATTCCTTTATCTTATCAGGGAATCATACATCAAGGAAACCTAAAAATGAATTATGTGTTTTAAGACTTATAACAACTTCTTCTCCCTGAACATTATTCTCTTAAAACTTTAGAGACCTTTTGGAATGAAGTCTCTCGTGTAAAGAAAAAGGTGTCCACACTTCAGTTTCTTCCGTACCTTTTTCTGACAAATGTACGTTAAATGAAATTTAACAAATTTTAAACAATACATTTTGTAAAAATCTGTCCCTCCACTTATTGTCTATGTCCACATACCTAAGCATTTCTGCTAACTACATACGAACATAAATATATTACATATATACATAAATTATAACATCCAATGAATAGTTCTTCAGCTTCTTGATCTTCAGATGTGCATAGGTATGTGGTTATTTCCTAAAGCTTTGTTGACTTCATGATTTTTTAAATATAGCTCTTTAGTCACTTACTTTGAACTGACTCATATAAATTTATACCAACGTTTAAATTGCCTTTATGTTTTGGCTTAAATTATTAATATGTCAAGCCAATTCATACATACATTTTGGAAACAAATATCATGAGAGTTTATTACATGTAAACTCATTACAACCGAGCATGTGTCTCCAGCCTATCAGCTTGAAGTATTTGCACACTACCAGTATACAGACACGCACTTGTACACAGTGACACAGAGAGGTCTACAACATTGTTAATCTGTAAACTCTGTGTCAAGGATATCTCCCTATATCAAGGGAGATGTCTGCATTGATATTTAAATAATATTAATAATGCTTAGGTCCCAATCGTATGATTTTGAGTTTGCCAAAAAAGTCCATGAAAACTTTCGTCTTTGTAATATGTTGCTTGAATTTCTTGTAATGGGCATAATAAAACAATAGTCATTTAAAAAAAAAAAAAACTTTTTTAGCTCCCTAGCTCCTCTTCCCCAAATTCTTTTAGAATATCTTTATAAAGTCTTTCTTTTCGGAGTTTAAAAAAACAGAAAATTAAGTTACAGTCAGAGTTGTCTAATAAATTTTTGGAAAACTTAGGTAAGTGGTAAGTGGGAAATTTTCATTCACTCATCCATTTATTTTCATTAATTCATGGAACACAAATATTAACTGAATGTACACCATGGGCCAAGCACTGTTCTAGAGCTTTGGAATACATCAATGAACAAAACCAACGTCTGTGACATCACGGAACTTACATTCTAATTGAGCAAGATAGACAACATAATAGAATAATAAAATTGGCAGGAATGTTCAGGAAGCACGTCCCTGAGAAACTGATGTGTGAGCAGACCCCGAGGAGACAGTGAGCAACGTGGACCTGGGGAGCAGGGGCATCCCAGGAAGAGGAAGTTGCTAAGGGCCCAGGAAGAGGAAGTTGCTAACGGCCCAGGGGGAAAGTCCAGATGTAGACCTGTGGTGTGGCTGGAACAGAGAGGGCTGGGGCAGGTCACACAGGGACTTTTGAGGATTTTGTTCTCAGTAAACCCACTGCTGGAGTTTTAACACGGACATCATACGGGTGACTATGGTTAAGAGGAGAACACTGGTGGCTTTGTTACCAACAGGCTGCAGTGGGAGCCAAGGGTAGAATCAGGGAACAGGTAAGGAAAGGCTTTAAGGGGATGAAGAACTTCTCAAATGCTCAGGCTACTCAACAGTTTGGAGGAAAAGAAGACTGAGTAATCTCTGATATTAGTCACGAATGGTTCACATCATCAGGTATTAACATATATACTATTAATATGCCTGATGAAATGTACAAGAGGCATAAATCCTCTAAAATAGATCGATACATGCAATGCTTAACTGGACAAATAGTAATTATCTAGTTGACCCAGATAAGAGTTGGCCTTTTGTGGTTGTTCATTGTGAAGCAGGCCAACTTTTATAGATGATTGTTTGAAGAAAAGCACAAAGGAGATACTGAAGCTCAGAGACCAATTTCTGATGCTCCCGTATCTCCCTCCAAGCGTGTACCTACACACAGGTGGCTGTCAAAAGAGGGCGACATCTTCTCAGAGTTCTGGCTGCTTCTTTCTCTTGCCTTTTGTATTGAACATAGAGCACAGATCCCTTCTTTGTGTCTTCTCAATTACCTTGAACCTTCTGAATTGTTTCTTTATGAAGTCCAGTACTTTGTGTCTGAGAAGTTTTCATGGTGGCTGTGGCATAACCACACTGTGATACAGTATTTCATTAAAGCTGGCTGACGTCTCATGAAAGTGGAGTGTGTGCATGACTACTGGGTACTATTTGATGACGTTTTTTGATTTTGTTTTATTTACAATTTTTTTTTTTATTTTTACATTTACTTATTTTTTTTTTTAATTTTTTTCAACGTTTATTTATTTTTGGGACAGAGAGAGACAGAGCATGAACGGGGAAGGGGCAG